ATGCGAAAAAAAAATTCATTTTTGTGTAAATATGTCAAAGTTGATTTTCAAATTCAGTGAAAGTCAATTGGTGGATATGTATGAGATCGAACAAAATGGAAGTGAATTTCATTTACATAAATAACATCCTACAACAACAGATGTACCTAATGAATTTATCGTTCATTTGAAAGGACATAACAGTATCTATCATATGACTATTAAAAACCGATATTAATTCAAAACAAGAATCAATAACGAAAATCTTGGATTGTATAAAAATTTACAGAACCACTCAAATTCCTCATTCTTCCTGATGTTTATATGTTCGATTTAAGACTATCGAATTTTGTTTTGTGTGATAGAACTAACTTCATGATATTACAATAGCTAATAAAAAGTCTTTGTATTCAGATCAATTACAATTTCTTCTTTTTCTCCACATTAAACAATAATCTAGCATCGATCTTTTGATTTCTTCTCAAATTCGCATCAAATTAGTAATAAGAAGTTGAAGAAGTTTACTTACGGATCGAATACAAAGGAATGAAGCCTCCTTTAGAAATAATAATACAAGGATAAAAAACACAACAATTGAAACGCAAAAAAGTGAAAAATAGTTTTTTGTTGAATATTTGTTAGTCAATATATTCTTTTCAATTGACAATGACTGATTTTAAAATAGCAACGGTAACAACAAGAACAATAGACATCTCTCGTACACCAGTTTCGACAGTAACCAGTACCATCCATAACAGTGTTATATTCATAGTAGATATCAGTATAGGATGAACCACGACTTATATAACTTACTCGACCTTTTATCATCGCAGTTGTCTTCTAAAACGCGAGAAAAGAAAAACGTTCTCTTATTCAAATTATGAACAGAAACATATCGTTAGTAGCTGTGCACCAATAGCCAAACGCACCAGATTCCAAAGTTACAAGATCGATAGAATTGATACAATCATAGCACATGTAACAATTCGAACCAACAGCCATTTATTGCAAAGTTGAAAGAAGAAATATTTATCACATTCATTGTTTGAACTAGTTGTATATTGAAAGTGAACTAACCCAAGAAAAGAATGAAACTGACCGCATAATAGCGAAGTGATAAATACATTTAAAGAAGATAATTATTAGTTCGAAGACAAAATGAATTACTTCTTTGATTCGATGATATACACTAATCGTCAAAGTCGCAGTACATCTCTAAAACATCGCTTTTTTTTCTTCTCAAAGTGTGTTGTTAAAACAAAGTGGGTGTTAGGTGAGTGGACATCCGTGTGGATATTTTGTTTATTTCACTTATATCTATTGACACTCACAACCATCCTTCACTTTCACACCTACACTTATATCAATCCTCACCCACACACATTTTCAATTCACGAAGTTTGGTATTAGGTCGATTGGGTATCAGGATAATTTTTAGTAGATATCGATCTGGATTTCATTTATCGATTCAATAAATTAGTGTTGAAATAAGATAATAAAATTAGTGATATCTCAAAAAAAAAATGATTTTGTCAATGATTAAATGTTTTCTATTAATTTTTCGACATCCTTTACATATTCTCTTTTTAAAAAAATCTTTGAAAATGAGTTTAACAGAAGGTATCATTAAGGCGTAACCGTCTGCTGATGGAAATCGGCGCTTCAGAAAAAACTGAAATAAGAAACTGTACCAAAACCTAAACGGTGGGAAAAAATATTTTAGAACCGTTAAATCATCAGATATGAGAAACTTGATCCTTTAATTATTGAGATCAGAGATTCCAGTCAGTATATATCTATAATATTGTTTTACTTAAACCATGGCGTGTAGGACGTCTTTAATTTCAAGAAATAGAGAGTCATAATCTCTTAGTGAAAAGGCTTTTTTCTAATTTTTGCTACCTAAGATAACGATTTCGGTTTCAGATAATTTTTAGACGGTCGAATCCACCCAGCGAACATATGAGGAAAAGAGACTGATGCAGAGCTAACATCCAGGCATTGACCTCCACAAATTTATTCGACGGCACGGAACGCCCACACGCGGTGCACATCTTTAGTCCACACATCAAACGATATTTCACACAAGAAAAAGAGAAAAAACCCCCTTTCTATCAGTTATCCATTCGTTCACAGTCAATTTAAATTCTGAAACAACAATGTATTGTTGTCTTTATTGACGAGATCGGTCAAATAGAATACAGGAATACATCTATATTACCATTTATAAGTTAAGCGAAATAGATTTCGATAGAGATAAACATGGAATATTCGTGTTTTCAATTGAATGATTTACCCGATGAAATTCTCCTGTTTATTTTAAAAAAATTGTCTAATATCGAGGTACTGTACTCTTTATGAGGTGTTAATAAACGATTAAATAAAATAATATATGATTCTATTTTTACGAATCGTTTAACTTTGCTGATATCTTTAATACAAATTATCCTAATTTATTCGGATCTTTTTAGTGGTAAGATATTTCACTTTGATTCTTTCAGTCATAGAAACTTTGGAATTATAAGTGCGATGAATTTATTTGAATCAATTTCATATTTATTTATCAATATGAATAAGTAGAAAACTGCTATCAAAGAGATCATTTCAAATAAAAAAACAAATATTTGTATACAAAATACCAAAATAAAAAGCTTCCATCTTATTTTTTACATAAATTTTTCTACATAAATTTGTGCAAAAGAAAATACTAACAACTATTGAAATGAATTCATACGACCGGGTGTGGGTGTGAGTGTGATCGAGAGCATGGAGAGTAGATCTACACCCATACCCACACCCTTTTTACAAATTTTTACTTAGAGATTTCTCGTTTATATTCCTGATCTCATTTTTCCCTCCATGGTAGCGGTAGTATTGAAAGTTATATGGTTTTGAATCATAGGACCAGTACTAACTAACTACTGAAATATGCAAAAAGAAAAATTTTTCTAACAATTTCATTTTTTGAAAATGTTTTTCTTTAAAACAACATGTTACATATGCAAACTATTCGTATAAATAATAAATTAACATAGAAAAATTGTTCAAATAAATCTTTTCCTCAACAGAATATCTTTTTTTTCACTTCATGATATTTCCATAATCAAAAGTCCTTCTATCAAATTTTATTAATGGAATGAAATGTATTAGAACATATATATCTTCATCTTTTTTCTTTGTTCTTTATTATTATTATGCAATATGAGAATGAGTCGGAAGAAAATAACAAGAGTAAAGGCACTCCTGCAAGTTATTACTGTTGTACTGATCTACTGTCAAATTGTATAAAAACAGAAAGGTGAATGTGTATATATTCTAGTACATTTCATTCGATCAATAAAATCTGAAGAAGGCAACACATTGATTGCTGAAAATACATAATGAGAAAGGGAATGTGCTACTAATAATGCGATTTATTTAAACAATAATGGGAGCATTGTATAGATGGAAAAGATTTTGATACTGTTCACATATAAACTTTAACCAAAACTTAAAGGTGATTAATTTGAAATGCCTATTAAAGATTTTCTGCAAGTAATTTTACTGTTTTGCCATTATTTAAACTATCAAGAAGGGTCTTAGCAATTTTTCTTGAGCTATAATGATAAACAGCATCAGAATCTTTTGATGGTCTTGTCACTAAAATATGCGTGACAGTTGTAGATTCATTACCCCTATGTTGATGTTTATATCTCTGTCCACCTATTTGCACTTGAAAATTAACATAGTCACTATTTTCAGTAAAATTCTGATCACCTAAGCGTACATTATCTGTTTGCTTTATTGTACCCGCCTTAAATGGCTGAGACGTAATTACTACTAGTTTATCATTTTCATTCCTTAATTTTTTCATAGCTTCAGGTATTAATTTATATTTTATTTCTTTTTCTAGAACCATCCTGCATTACAGTGATAGGATTGAAGATGTAAAGGTTTTTCTTTGGTGTACCACCAATCATCTGATTACGTCTATTCAAATCAATCTCCCGTCTACGTCTAACATATTTTTCTGAATGTTTAGCAGTATAACGGCATAGTGATACTCGTTTTTGTCCTATAATATTTTCATTTACTTTTCTACCTAATGATTTATGATAAGCTATTAGCAAACAATCTTTCCGTCCATTGATCTGTATATATGTTTCTGTTCCTCTACTAGTAAAATAATGTCCAATATATCAATTTTCATCTGCCTCATAATAGATTTTAGCAGATTGTTTAAAAAGAGCAGGTATTTTTCTTCTTTTACGATCTGCTAACATTTTGATATCAGTTAGACCTAAAGCTCTATCTTTATCTTTTGCTTCTCTCAAATAACTTGCAGTATTTGTTTTGGATTTCTAATATTATTTTATAGATCTTCTCTTTTCGCTCGATCTTGTTGTTCTTTCTTTAAATCTTGATTTATGGGAGATTGTTCAACAGCAATTTGACTTTCTGCATGATTTTGTCTATTTTGATTCGATTGTTTCAATATATTAGCTGGATTTCTTCCATTACATTGTGACTACTTCATCTAATTATTTTGTTAATTTAGTTGATATATATTCTCTAATGATTCTATTCAATTGTTCTGCTCTTGTTTCGACAAGATTCTGATTAATGTTTTTTTCTATAAATATTCTGATTTTCTTTGGTAGTACCTCCAATAATATCTTTTAGAGTATTATAAAGACATGTTCGAACTGTAAGACAGATTGAACTACAGTCCACAGCTTATTAATGATATCTATTGCTTTAAGAGTAGGAGCAGTTATTTTAACGTATTTTGAATTTGATTGCTTTAGACCATCAGCAAATAGATGATAACTATTTCTTAAAGAAGATACAACTCGTGTTCGAATATTATCAAATTGTTGAGGTAATAAAATATCTTTTCCTAATGTTTTTTCTAATATGTTTTTTCAATTCTTCAAAAGATTTTTCGAACTCTTCTTCATTTTTACTTTGAAGATAAAGAGGTTTCTACTTTATTATTTATTAAATCGATTATTCCTTTTAATAAATGTTCTTCTATTTTACTAACAATCTTTTGTATAAACATTTTCTTGAATCTGTTCCATAATTTTATCCGTCAAAAACTTTCCAATTCCAACAGTCAACATAGAGAGACCGAAGCTAATTGCTTTTTGTATTGCCCATTCTTTCGTATTAAAAATACCTGATATTAAAGCATTGCCTATCTGAGTCAAACCAAAGGCTACTAAAACAGCTTCGGCAATGACTTGAACAAGTCCTATCATTGCAACGGCAAAAGCATTCCAATCCCACCAAGATTTATCTTCTTCAATAATCAAAAATTTACTAAGATTAAAACCTTCAAAAAAATCTTAATTCACTGGGAACATTTTCTTGATCTTGAAGATCTCTAAAATCTTTTAAATTAGCTTTTAAACCTTTTTTAAATGAACGAATATCTCCTTGTAAAGACAAAATTAATTCTTTATCATTTTCAAATTGAGTATTTTTTAAAATTTTATTTAAAATTCTTTCAATATTTCTTTTAATATCTCCATATTTATATTTGGCAAGTTCATCAGACTTTAAAATATTTTTTTCTTTTAGATAAATTCGAATATTATTTCCTTCTTCTTCGTTAGTAGTAAATGGTAAATCTGTTTGATAAAAATATTGATTTTGTTGACTAATATTATCTTTTAATTCTATTAAAAATGTTTTAAGATCTTTTGTTTCATGACCATTATCATTAAATTTAATTTTCGCATATTTTCCTTTCTATTGATTGTTCAAATAGAGAAATATTAACTTGTTGTGGATCTATTTTATCTTCTAAATCTTTCCAAACATTTTCATATATCTGTGGTAATTCTTTTTCTATTCTATTTATATTTAAAATTTGCCATAATTCTTCACTATAACAAACAATATCGTCGAAATCCTTTTTTTCAAAATAAGATTTACTATTTAATAAACTAATTAATGAGTCGGCAATCGAAGGATCAAGATCATTTCGAATTATCTTTTCTATTTTATCTCGTTCTTGTGAATTATTTCGAAATATTTTTCTTATTGTATCTCTTTGAATAATTTCATGTTGAACTAAAAGTGAATATAATTCTTTTCCTTTATCTTGATCTTCACGAGTTAAATTTTGTTCATCTTTTGGATGTAAAATAAAATGAAATGGTTCTACTGTATCTCCAACAGCTTCTAATTTTCCTGTTATTTGATCTTGATAAAAATTTTCTTTTGAAGAAATTTTTTGAACGGTGTGGGTAGGGGTCTTCTCTTTATCTACACCCACACCCAAATTTGAACTTAGCTCTACACTATTAGAGAACCAAAAGAGAAATCTCTGATCAAAATGCACTTTTTTCTGGAAACGAATTTTCTTCAAAATAAAAGGCAAAGCAACCAGACTATTTAATTTAAATTGATTACAATAGCTGATTTTCCACATTAATCGTTTGAATAAGAAAACAATTATTAATGTCTTCATTCAATTTACTAATTTAATCAAATAAATAACAGACACAACAGATATACAAAGAGGTTAATACAAAAAAAAATCATATTGGATTTCTTCATATGAAAATACTGGCAAAGAGTTCGTCTGTCTTGATATTAAAATTCAAAAATTATTTTCCTCTTATGCAACCATGATCATATGATGCCTGATCTGTTGTGCCTAATCATACTAATTGAATCTTGCGATCAACAGCTCATAGGAGTAAGATTTCTGGACTAATGGCTATTTGAATTGAACTGAGGTCATTTGAAAAAAGAAACATAAATTAAATTTGAATAAATATTAGAACACAAAGAAAATTGTTTATGAATCTTATCAAAAGATTCATTGTTTAATACGTTACGATCGGGAGAAGTTACTTGATATTTTAAACAAAAACTTTACACAAATATTCTTTAAGCATCAACATCAATCTGAATTCTATCACATATATCAAATATAAATATGTCAATAAATCTTTTATTATAAGCATTTTTATTGATAGAAACTTCTCATAAAAGTGACGAGGAGGATATCATTTCATAGGGGAACGTTTGCAATTTTCTTTAAATGTCATTTAGATCAAATTTTTCTTCTACTTTTCAACGATTCACTTATACTTCTTAACATATGGTTCTTACGAAAATTCTTTTTCACGCATAGAACGTTAACACATCGTTATCAAATTTTTTTCATTGAAAGTCTAATGAGAAAAGAAATATATGGTTGATTAATTAATTGATTTATTATTATTGAGATTTCTTTTACAAAATCAATATTTGATCTATACATAATTTGATTTCTAAAAAGGCAGAGACACTTTTCTGTCAACGAAATTAACGTACTTCGAGTATAACAAAACTTTTTCTTATTATTGTCAACAGATAACAAACTAATTGAAATTATAAGATTTAAATAAATACATATAGAGCATAAATAAAGATACCTCATATTCAGATCAATTTTATTAACTAATAATCTTAGTAATTTCCTTTTATACATTATTTTATTATTTCTTTAGTTCAATTAGGCATTGTAACAAGCTCTCTTCAAATGAAATGTTTTGCTTGTACATTTTCTCACCTATTATTTACTCACGTTTGTTCACTTTTTTTGGAAAGAAAAACAAAATAAATATCGCAATAAAAGTGTTCCTTTTACAAACACTCGATAACTACATCAGTTCATTGCATAACGAAATCGGCAAAAAAATACCAATTGAACAATGTCTATATTGATGGGAGAATTGAATAGTTTTTTATGACTATATTAAGTAATGAAGACCCTTCAATTTATTCTTTGTTATATCAATTACGGAAATTAAGATAAATCTAATAAAAAATATTCTAGTCTAGCTATGTATATACCTATTTAATTAATACTTTTTCTAATTGTCTTTATAAAATTATGGACAACGGATATATCTCCAAAAAGGCACCTATTATTATTTTCAAAAACATCAAAACTTAACAAGAAAAATACACAAATAAGTTGTTGAGTATGTTGTCTTTTTTATGAAACTTCATAACATTCCCATTCAATCGAAACAAAGAATATACCGATAATAATTTGATGAAAGATTTGAATAAACTAAATACTATGAAAACAAAAAGAAGTTCTTTTATCTGTTGAACAATTTTTGTAAGAGAGAAAAAATCATATGAAATACACGAATACACCTACAATGGTCTATTACTATCACGAAATCATTACATTGACAAGTTTACTTTTTTACTTAAATTTGTGTTTATCGTCTATGAAGTTGCAATCTATAAAAACACAGAATATACTTCATTTAATTCTAAGCATATCATATAATTTCATAGACAGTGATTTTTTCAGTAACTAGAAACAATTATCTATTTCATTCATCAATATTAAAAATTCGTAAATATTTAAACAGACTGAATAGATTTGATCAATAAAAGCATTTAGTTTTTGGAATTTTCAATGGAAAAAACAATTCTGTTCTTTCTTATATTTTCTCAATTTTCATGATTCAGTTGATATGATCAATTAACGGATTTCACTTGCGTCTTGTGACAAGCGATACATTGTTCAGTTGGAAAGAAAAATTGTCACAAATGAAGTAACAGCACGACATTCCTCTTGTTTTTACGCATTACATTAGATTACGTTCAAAAGAAAGTGGAATATGCAAAAACGATAGTGCTTATAAAATCTAAACTCAATTCATTCTTTCTACTAACATTTTATCTGATGTAGTTTAATATAAAAGACTATTGCCAAAAGCTAGAAATAGTATCGTTTTTGAGTCACTGTTTTCTATTCATAATCTATAAAATGAATAATTTTTTTTTCTATAGTTATATCGGGAAAATAAAATAAAAATGATGATGTATACTGTGTAATCAGCTGTATATTTTGAGAGGAATTCATGATTTCTGGTGCATGTGCGTCAACATTCGTTTTGTTTTTTATATATCCACAATCACGAAATGATTAAATCTAATATTGAAAATAATTTTGAGAGTTTTATATTCATCACTATTTCTCTGAATTTGTGAATGCAATTGAATACATATATAAAAATCAGTAATACAGATCATTGATAGTTTGTTGTGATATTTACAGAATGTGCTTATCGAAAAGATTTATTTTATACAGTTATCCTTCATAATAAGTGAATGATAGTTACCCCTTTATTACATTTATTGTTTATTTATAATGGATACATATGACCAAGAAAATTTAATTTTATCTTATGGCAGATTTTGATGATTATACCCATGTCAATATCTCAACTATTCTTAAAATGAAGATTACATTTTCTACAAAGTTAATATGTTCAATGAATTATTCTTTGTAATTGAACGAGAAGTCTTCATTAAAATCAACTCGAGTTGATGAATTAACTTGTCTTGGGTCCTTATATAAAGATGAACCATTACAGTACACTAGAAGTTTGGTTATGTACGTGAAACTAAGAAATGTTTAAATTTTTTATAAAACAGAAAAGAAAGGCAATAATTGATAATTAC